CGGTTGCAGGCGGCTTATCAACGCTACAACTACCAAACTGGTCAAAATGACCATTTTGTAATTTTTTTTTCCTTTTTTCTTGGCAGAGGAGAGATATTTTAGAAGGGATACAAAACAGTATATTTTTAGAGATTTGAAATTATTTTTCACAAGAACTTGTGTGTACTTTGTTGTATCGAAAATGTTTTACTTTAGCATCTCTGATGGAAATTTTACGTTTTAATCGCCGGCTCTAGCGTTCTAGCGTTAATACGCGTGCACGAAGGGTTGCTCGAACGATCGATACTCCCGGTGAAATCTGTAATATCGGAGTATGTACACGTTGCCTCGATATATTTTTCGTTTCGTTCACACTGACGCGCGATATCTTTTCCAGCGTTTGACCTGGGATATTACGTTCTCTGGAATGTCGTATGTAAAGTTACGTACGTTACTAAACGGCGCGAAGGAGAAATCTTCACACGAGGATAATAATACATACATACGCACTGATGACGAAGGAAAAAAAATTCGTGGTTGGGAAATGAGGGAGAGGCATTATCGTTTGAATAATTCGCGATTGATGGATAGATCGAAAAGCAACGGTGCTGAACATCTGCGCTGTTTTAAAGCGTGAAATCGCGTTGAGGATCATTTCGAGACGTTAGAAGAGACTGCCCGTCGATGAAACATCAGCGTCTCGTCGTAAAACATTTGTATATATTTTTCAAAGATTATCATAATCGAGTGAAATACGTATAAACCTAGTTACAGTGGCTATTAACTGCATTCTGTTTCGCGAATATTTCAGTAAAATTCCAAAATACTTTAACTACTCGAGCATCTCTTATCGAATTCAATTGACGATTCTATTCATCGAAGTCGCTGGAATATAGAAAATTACTTTGTTTGAAATCAGAAAAACGTTTGATTTGTTTTTGAAAAGAATGGCGTCTGAAAGATCTCTCGAATCTCTTTCATCGCGCGTCTAATATCTCTCGCGTTGAATATAAAACGTTCGTCTCGTTTGCGCTCGTTTGGTCGTTCCACAAAACGATGGTGTCTTCCACGAATGCCGGGGTGAATATTTTCGCGTACGCGTTTCTTAATCAGCGACAACGCTTAATCAGAGGCGTGCGTGAAACGCGCGTGCCGCAAGCATTAAAGAGCGCGATACGAAATTAGATCGCGGCCGTTAGACGACTGCTCGTCGCTCGCTCCTCTTCGCTGAAGAAGCGGCCAAGCTGTTAATTCCATCGTTTACTTAGCGAGGTGCAACGAGTGCAGTGGCGCGCGCGATGTTCAAGCCGCGATTGTTTACGGCGGTCAGAGCTCGTGGAAACGATCGTTTCTCTTCACCACTTCCGAGCTCGGACGCGAGCTGGGGGAACGGTCTCTATCTCGCTGAGAGATACCGTTTATCGCTTCCTCTATCGACCCGATTTAACAGCTCGCTGATCGTACACTGATACCGCGATGGTCTTTTCTTTTCTAACGCTTTGAAGTAATGTCTATTTGTGACGAACAAACGTAGATATAAGTCGTTTATTATTGGAGATGTTGGAATCAACAACAATTTCCGTCACGGTAAAAAGCGGGAATTTTTTCAAATTCTTTGAATTGAAAGACTTGTATAATGTGTCGAAGATTGTATGAAAAAAATGTGCATTAAGAAGATGGATCTCATAATACTGCTTAATGTATGACGTTCGTAACTCTTTCATTATCCACGCAACACAAATCGTTTCGAACCAAAAAAAAAAACGATTGATGCACGAGCATCGATGCATTCGATAAGAATCACCGAGAGTTACAATAGTGTTTCGCTCGATCGTTCCACGTTCTTCGCTGCAGCGATCGGTCGACTTTTTTCGCGGCGATGCAAAAGGATAGAGAGAGAGAGAGAGAGAGAGAGAGAGAGAGAGAGAGAGAGAGAGAGAGAGAGAGAGAGAGAGAGAGAGAGAGAGTAACAACTCGCAACAACAGGCGACGACGAGCAGAAACGTAATCGTTCGCGTGGACGTATCATTTGGCACAATAAATCCGCGCGAATCGTGAGCGACCATTGGCCGACGGCGACACCCAGCTACACTTTGGACAGTCTGCAGCCACAGCTGCGGCCTGTACACGTGTTGACCGTTCCCGTTCGTAGATTGAACATCGTCCTCGATGTTTGCCACGACGATTAGCGTGATCTATGCCCTTCTACCGCGACGTCGAGTCGATAGAAATTAACCGACCGCGGCCTGGGTCGCTTCTAATCGCGATCGTTTTGAATCAATCGAGACTCCCACGAAGAGGATATTTATAATTCTTTTGGGGGATTGTTCAACTTTTTATTTCTAGCAATTTGACTACTAGTAAGCGCATAATTCGTGCGATCAGAGCTACATATACACAACAACTTTGAAGAAGATATTATACTTACCTCAGGCAAGATGAATAACGATCAGTTCCACCGAATCGCTCGAAAACCTTAAATCTACCCTTAGGACAGGCTTCCTCGAGACGAACCTGGGTGGTCTTCTCCTTCGGGTGGCAATCGATCGATGCATAAAACATTCTTCTCCTTCTTCTTTCTCTTCTTCATCTCTCGAGTCAAAAATTCTCACGATACAGCAATCGTTTGCGAATCTCATTAAAAACAAGTTAAACTTCATTTTAGAAGAAATGCATGACAACTCCAGAAGAAGTTTACGCTGACTAGATTTTAATGTACGCATCGCGTCGCCGCACAGTTGGAGAAGAAGACTCCTTGTTCGCGAAAAAGTGAACGATAAGGGTATCAGTGCCGTGGCGGTACTTCTAGCCTTCTTATCGCCGCTTCGCAAATATTCGCTCCAGTGATTTACCACGTCGTTTTCGTTTTCATTTTCGTGCCGACGCCATTTAGAAGCCCCACCGCTCGTCCACGCGGCGAAAGAGCCTCGCAACGATCCTCTGATCTCGATCGCGAGCAACAGGCTGGTCGTTGGCGGTGTGTTTCGTGTTTGCGCGCCGGTGTTAAATGCGTTCCATCTGCTGGTCAATGGTAGATTGAACGGCGCCGACGACGTTGGCCAAGAAGTTTCTCTCGCTTCTTCTATCCGCGAAAACAGAACCGAGCGAGGAGGAAGCGAGTAAAAATGATTTATGGCTTTCGAGAAGATGCGTCGTCCAGATATAGCGGACGCGGATTGAATTCTGATGGAACGGCGGTGGTGGGGGATCTTCAAAGAGGATCTACCCGGTGTCCTTTGTGGAACGATCTTGATGGATATTGGCACGATGACGTGGTTGCTTTGTCTCGTCCTTTAAGATCGGGAGCAAGGATGATTCCTTTGAGTCGAGCGCCGGATCATTTTTAGTTAAAGTGAAGTACCTACCGTTTTGTAGCTTCAAAAGAAGTCTCGTCTTTCGTTTTCTTATATTTCGTCCAATTTCTATTTCGGGTTATTGAGGATTATCACGACACGAATTGGAAGGTAATTAAATTACCTGGAACTCTCAAAATGATCAAAATGGCCATTTGAATATTTTTGTTCACATATAAAACAGCGTATTTTTGGATCCTCCTTAAAAGTTTGTGTCTCTTTTACTCTATCGTCTCTGATGATTAAAAATGCAAGGAACTTTAAATCCTTAAACATCGAGCCCTTGAAAAATGAAAGAGCGCAAAAACAGAACAGCGTCTCAGTTTCTCAGAAAATTCGTTGCTTCTGCATTTCTACTTCGTAGCTCCAAAAAATACTTTCCGCTACGTTCCACGATCGAGGAATTAATTCCCCGATGTAAATTCTAATAAAACCTACACACGCGCGAGTGTCCACTAGAATCGGCAGAGAGGCAGAAACCATCGACGAGAAATGCTCGAGGCTAATGGCGTATCCGCGAGTGTCGGCGTGTTTTAAAGCCTCTCTTAGAAGAGCCTCTCTTTAAAAGCTAGACTCCTCTCCTCTCTCTTTCATCTTCGATTTCAGTCTTCGTTCGCACGGAACGCAAAGAACGCGCTTACATCGGCCCCTTTGAAAGGGACATCTTTGCGTGTCATTTCCGTTTCGTCGCCCGTCTGCTTCGAGCTATCGCCGCGAGAAGAAGCTACGGTGTTCATTGTATTAAACATTTCTCGTCGGAGAAATATATTTTTGAGGAAAGGATTCACGAAACAATTGTGTGTCTATCGGGAGATGTCTGACACGATTGCACGCGTCACGGGAATTCCTCCATCTGCTCCGGGGACTGAAGCGTGAACCTCGGCTTTCCACGCTCCCGATCCGACGGATAACCGACCGCGACAGATATTACGTCAACCGCGAGCACGCGAATTATTCTAGCGTGACACGAGCGACGAGGATTAGCGTTAAATTGGCGCGACGTGCTGGAAGAGGGAAGAAAGAGGCAGGAGGGGGAGGGCACATAGATCCGAAGTTGCTCCTCGGTTCTTAACCTTCTGGCTCGCAATTAGTCTCCGCCAGTTCCATCGGTCAACGATTTACAGTCGATTGTTCCCTCTTAACGACGGCCCTTTGTTCCTCGGCGTCTGTAGGAAATTACGCGAGCAACCTTATTACTCGCGGACTCGAGTGCGCCGTTTACGTCGAGACATCGAGACATTAAATTAGCAGCAGCGTTAATAACATGCACTTTGGTAATTAGTAGCCAGCGAGTCGAGAGTAGGATCGACCGAATTCCGTTCCGTTTCGTTTCGAGGTGGCAAAGCTGGAGAAGCTTGAGGAATTTTTTTTTTTTTTTTTCTTTTTGCTACGAGTAGTCGTCGAATGAAAAATTCAGTTTTCTTTAACATCACTCTTCGATATCTTTTAAAAGAGAAATTCTCGCAGATTGACAAAATTATTGTTAAAATTGTCTCTCTTTTTAAAAAGTGTCTGCCTCCAACTGTTAAAAGATTATTTTTTTATAATGTTCTCGCGTTGTTGAACACTGTTGAAACAAACTTCGTTATTGTCAGGTTGAATCATCGGTCGTTTAACGCCGACCGGAGCAAACACGAAACTCGATCTGATCGCGTAATTTTTGTTCAGAAGGACGGGAAACGCCATTATCACCGCCACCACCTTCGAGCTCCTCCGTTCAGACATCACCTCGCGGATTGGGTTACACCTGCGGTCCCATAGATGGATCCCTGTACGCTGTGGTACACCAGGGTGCTGCCGGTGGTGCCCGTGGCTCGCCATTGACAGTTTCCATGGACAGCGGCATCAGCAGTGCTCCACCGCAACGACCTAGTCCACCAGAACCGGAGCCGGATAACCAGGCTCATGGTGATCTCGACAAGCTTCTTCATGATATGATGCTTACTGTCGAGGTACGCCCATAAACCAGTGTCATAAATTAACAATTAGCGTCTAAACAACTAACAATTAGCGTCTAGACAACAATTCTAAGTCTAACTGTAACAAGTGTCACAAACGTGAGTCTGATTTGTTACCTTCATACGAGACAACAAGTGACGAACAATTCCTTGAAAATAGAGATAAGCTTGTAAGTTTGAAACACTACGTAATAGAGACGTTGAATTATCACTGGATATTAATCCTGGAAGGTCTTCCACGCCTAGATCAACGCCATTTACCGAGATAACGAAGATAATATTCCGCCAATAAGAATTATATTTCTATCTTTCTTTGGGCACAGTCGATGCCGGATCCTCCGTCAGAGGACTACAGAACAGACAGGAGCGAGAAGATGTACATTCAGGAGACCCGTAGCTACAGCAGCCACGCGAGCAGCCATTCCCCGTCGACCTACTCAACGCTGAAGGACTCGTACAGGAATTACAGCACCGCGAAAGACTCCAGCCCGCCGTACAACTCGAGCAGCAGTTACAGCACCCTGAAGAACGAGTACCGCGAGCCAGTGAAAATCGAGCACCGAAGGGAGGAGTGCGAATATCGCATGTCGCCGGATCGAAAGATCGCCGAGGCCACCACGGAAGTCTATAGGAAACACGCTGACTCGTTCTCGCCACCTGGGAATATCGATTACATCGACGAGGACATCCCGTATCACGCACGACAGACGAGTCAGCCGTTCTCGTACGGCGCCACGTCGGACATGATCAAACATCAGAAGCTTTCGTCGCCATCCCTGGTGAGAAAGGCGTCTGTACGAGGCACAGCGCCCGTGGTGGACTTCGAGGACATCCTGGGGGAGAATTCGAGGAGACCCATCAGTCCCCTGAGCCCAAACACGCCGGATCCTCCGCCCGAGTTCGCCAATGGTCCCGCGAAGAACACTTCCGATCACGTGGACGGGTGAGTGAATTATGATATTTTTTTCTCTTCTCCTTTTTTTTTTTTTTTTTTACATTAAGTTATAGCGGCGGAGCAACGTGATCTTTGTTAAGTCGATACGTACGGTGGTTATGAAAAATATTTGCACGCTGTTTATATATTAATTAATTGCATCCTGGTATTAAACTTTGTATCTGCAAAAGTTTTTGCGACCGCTGTATATTAAATAACTTTTATAAAAAGCACGTTGCTCGCCTCGTCGATAGTTTTGTTCGTTTATATCGTAACATGGGGGGGGGGGGGGAATTTTTCCGAGAGATAAAGTGGGATTCAAAGAGAAACGCGACGTGAATATGTAGTTAGCCGGGAACAAATTGCTCCGGCTGTAAACATTTAGTTTAGCCATGGAAAATTGCGCATTACGTGTCCAGAAGATAAATAATAAAGTAATTCCATTCATAGTAGAGTGAAAGTTTCGTAGTTCGCATCGGGACGGTTCATTATTGTTTCACTCGTCACGATAATGCCGAGTTCGAAACAGGTTCAGGAAAATATTGACTCGAAGCTTTAATTCGTCCGTGTTCGTGGATTATGAGATATTCCCCGGAGAAAAATTTCGTTGAAGTTAATTGCAGAGGAACTTTTGGAATCTTTTCTTTCGAACTTTTTCTTACTCTCGATAAACTTGAAACTTCCACACTCTGCTCGGCTCGTAGGAAGAACGATCTCGTTTGAGGTAATTACAACAGGAAAGGTAGAGTCTTCTTGTTATTTCTGATTCACTTCCGACAAACTCGAAACTCCCGTTTATAAAATCATTCGCGAAGAAAAACTCGGACGTCAAGATACTCGGCGAAAAGTTACCATTTCGAACAAACTCGAAGCTTCCATCTTCTCTGTCTCTCTCTCTCTCTCTCTCTCTCTGTATATTCTCCCCAACTGATTACGGGGTGCTACGTTTCTCCTGGCAATGTTCCCGGCCGGCGTTAACATCGTGCGGCCTCGGTCGCGTGTAACAAATCCCATAATTAAACGCTGGCTCCATCTCTAATAATAATACGTCGCGAGGCAAAACACACTTTGCCGCGTTTCGACACGCTCGATGAATATTGTGAAACGAGAGAGAGAGAGATTAGCAGGTTTTCCTTCGTGGAGTCTACCACGAAGACTCGTGGAAGACTCGACACGAGTGCAAGTGGGCCATTCCTCTGGCAGAGCTTCCAGACGACGACGACGACGACGACGCGATGATCGTCTACTGAGAAGTGTTGCAACTCATCCTCCGAATCGGGAACCGCAAAAGAGTATCACGAAGCTCGAGGGGAGGGAACGGCGGAGAGACGAGGACAGAGATCAGCCGGTGGGACAATTAATAAATTGTCTACCCATAGGCGGACTGCGATTGCGACGCAGTGCGGTCGTCGTATTTCTGCCAGGAATGGCAAACGCGGTCGTTGTGAGTCATTGTCGCGTCGCCCGGCCAAATGGAAAAGAGAAAAGTATCGGTGCGGATGCGGACGCCGTTGGCACAGACGCGTCGTATCGCGTTATGAAATACGAGTTTCGCGGTCGGAGGATGGATACTACGAGCAACAAACACGACCCCGCGCATTGTCGTCTCGTTAATTCGCCGTTCTGGAACATTGCGTTTCAACTTGGAGATGTATCGACGCGCGTAGCAGAGTCGACGTCTCTCCGTTTGATGCACGACTTTTTCTATTTCTTTCTGTAAAGAATATATATAATTATTAATTATACGATTACACACCTGTACGATTCGACGTTTATTCAAAAACGTGCTGCAATTCGTTTCGTAGTTCGCATAAAATCCAATTGACTTTCGTCTTTACTTCCGAGTGTCATTTACAGTCTTCTTTCTGGGGATTTCGCAAGTCCTAGACGATCCTAGAAGATTCTTCTGTTTTACATTATTTTCCTTTAATATTTTATTGTACTGCCAACTTTCTTTACATTTACACATTCATCGTTCGGGAGATTCGGTCGAAAAAATATCGCCAGCAGTTGACTCCTTTGCGTGGATTCACATTTACGGTAAAGATCGCGACGATGAAGCTCTTCGACGAATCTACACCGCCCAGCTACGGTGTTACAACACCGTTGAAAGAAATATTCGCTCGTCGTTGACAAAATTTATCTTCTAATTGTCACGACGAGCGAGTCGACAAAAGTTCTGTTGGGCGCGGCGAGTAATTCGGTCAGTGAACCAGCGCCGGTTGATGCTCGTGATACGAAATCTTAGCCGGGGGACAAGGAGAAAGCAAAATGTCCCGGCTGAAAATGCTTAACAAGTTTGTTAAAGCAGTGTGCAGTCTTGAGTTCGTCGAACCGGACGCGCGGAGCAGTCGTCTCGTAAAATAGTCGTCTCGTTTTGTGTATATCGAGAGTCGCTGGAGGGCTCCGAGAGCCGTGAAAATAAACGTCCATTCTGCGGCAGACCAAGGAGCAGGCCAAGCAGGCCAGCCTGCGAAACCGCGAGTTTCGCCTGGATATTTATGAAGAACCGCGATCCGCTACGATGGAGAAACAGGCGACGTCGTTTATGGTCGAGGAGGTCGACAGACGTTTGGCAGGTCTGCTTTCTCAGCCGCGCAAAGAAGCAAGGCTCTCCTTTCGGGGCTTCACCGTTCGTTCCTTGTCCATCCGATCCTGGCTCTCTGCTTCCCGATCGACGCGTAGCTGTTCAAACTCCATCTACGGCGGCTGTATACCTCTGAAACAATCGTTCGAAGTACCGGCCACTGTCTGCGCTTTGCTCGACGCCGTTCGCTCTCGCGACAGAGAAGAAATTTTCTCCTGTCTCTACATTTTACTAAACAACTGTAGAAAGGTAGCATAATCAATTGATTTTTAAATGAAATCTAGAATGAGGGGATTAATGAAATATATACTGTCTCATATATAAATTATAAATTTAAAATTTTAATAAAAATGTTAAAATTTTTTTGTGGGACGACAAGGTTCTATAGATATTTTGTATTAATTTACTTTTGTATTTAATATAAAATTTAAATTAATATCTAATTGGGAAAATTATTAAATTTAATAAATTTTAGTTTTTAGAAACTTCAATTTAAGAAAAATATTTTGATCTTCGATTTAAAATTAATAGAATAAATTTACCTTAGGGATAACAGCGTTACAGCAGACGGTGCAATTTAGAAACTTAATACGTGGTTGGCAGATCAAAGTGCAGCAGATTTTTCCCCATTGTCTTTATGAATATATATTCTTTTCAATACCAGATTCTCGGTCCTTGGACAGTTCGTATGAAAATTTTTAATATCCACATTCCCCGGCACAGTTTACGATTGCACGGGAATTATATTTGAATTTCGTTCGCGAACGATACCAAAAATATATTTGAGTCTGGTTAATTGAAATCCGAGTGTTTGAATGCCACGATAAGTACGATAATGTTTAAATTTAACTTTTCACAACCACTTTGGAATTTACCTAACCCAAACCATCGACGATTGATTCCATTAAGGGACGTCTGCCATATGCGAGGAATGAGAAACAGAAACCACGAGAAACAGAAGATTCTTGCTTAAAAAAAAAGAAAAAAAAAAAAAAAAAGAAACAGATACAAGGAGAGAGAGGATTCCTATTTCTGGGACTCCGGCCGCTCTCTGACATAATTATAAATATAGAACAGACGAAACGCGCTAAATCGGCCGCCACGAGACTCCAACCCTCTTCTTCGTCTTCTTCTCGTTTTCACTCGCGGTTCGCTTTTGTTTCCCCCTCCCCCCTCTGCGCTTCTGCAACTGCATTTTCTTTCCGCTGGCAATTTTTCCATCGCCGGCGGAGCCTTCGTAGAAGCAGAGCACGCCGCTCGGATACGGAAGTCATTCGAAGTAGAAGCAAGCGCACAAAAGCGGCTCGTAAAGCCATCGCGCAATTTTCCTCGACGAGCTCGCGTTTCCGACGTCCTTTCCGGACTATCCTAGACCGAGAGGCCGGTGTTCCCCTTGCTTCTAGCCGCGCTATTATTTCGGAAAAAAGAGCCCATCTCCCTTCTTTTTTTTTTTTCCTTCTTTCTTTTCAGACCAGTGAGAAATTCACCGGTACTCCTCATCGACCAAGTATCACCTCTCGACCGAGGCGCCATTGTTAAACTCGTGATCATTCGTGAATGGTGGTACAAATTACTATGAAATCGCTATTTTTTTTATATAGAGCGGTGTCACGCGTTTATTATTTCCAAAAATCGTGAGAACGTATTGTGATCAACAGTGACTTGATTGATCAGGATATATTGGAATGGATTGAAGTTTTTAAAGTCTTGACACACACCACCTGTGATCTTTAACTTGCCAATAAAGGTACTTGGTTCACTCGTCGCGGACAATTTTCACGTGAATCGTTTTGAAATTTTATGAATAATAACGTGACACGAATTTGAAACCAATCTGAAAGTGTGTATATTGTAAAAATGACGCAGTCGAAAATTTAGCAGTCCAGCGATTAGATTCGTAGTTGTTGCTTTTAAACAGGCTCACTCGTTGGCGCGTTAGTTTTCGCTGGAAAACGAAGCTGCTTCGTATCCGACACGCGAAATAGCGCAAACGATTTTGAAAGTACAGGTCGCGTGCCCAAGGGGGGAGAAAAAAAAAAGAGAAAGAAACAAAAAGGGAAGTATCGCATGAACGTAACGAGGCGTTTTATTATTCGAAACGCGAGAGTCTTGCGCCGAGAGAACGAGATAGCATCCGGTTTATTTCAATGGGAGAGAGAACGCTCGCGCTCTCGTAAATTCGCGTCGTTGGATTTTTTATTTTGCAGATGGAAGACGGCCGTTTTAATTTCACTCCCATGCGTGTGTGCGTCGTTGTAACAAATTACGCTTGTTTGCGCGTCCTTATGGGATTCTCTCGTTACTTTATGTCTTCTGAACGACGATTCTTTACGCTCCGGTTTAATTAATACATTCTAACGAGAAAAAGCGTAGAAACAGTCACGGATGAATGAATATTTCTGGGCCCGGTTATGTGTTTTTTTATCGCCGTTTTAAATATTTTGAAAATATCGATATAGCAAGAAAAGTGTTCCTAATTGTGGAAACTAGCGCCAGCAGTCAATAAGGAAAAAACTTTCAAAGGCTGAAAAAATTTATTTCTATAAGGGTCAGCTTTCTGGAGATATTTTTCAGATTTCTTTCAGAGATTTATTACCTATTTCTAAAACTTTATCTTCTGAAAGGAATCAAATGACAGTAAGAAATCAACCGCGGTGATTTGCGACGGTCCTCTCTGCAGTACTCGAGTATTTCGAGTAATTGCAAATCCTAATGAAATCGAGAACAACAACAGTTTGGTTGGTTTCAATCACTTTTCGCATACAGCCGCGAGAAACAAGAAATCACGAAGTGCTCGCTCCAAGTGTTCCAGTTTCGCGTTCGCAACTGTGGTAGATCTTCCCCGAGCTCGTTACTCTCCCTCCCCATGAAAGGGTTAATTTCCCGTGAATCTACCAAGTACCGAGAAATCCTATTTATGTCTATTTCGCCGTCAGAAATTCACAACGGCCGTTTGATCTCCCGGGCAAATTAACTTCTCATCCAAACGCGACTTGCGCGCCTGAGACTCTCGGCAACGGCGCAACAGAACAATCGTTCATCCTTTAATCCGCAAGCTTCATTAAACATCAGTTTAATACTTGCATCGTAAACGAATCCCCCTCTCTCGCTCGACTATTCCCTGATGAGCATCGTGAATGAATTTGAAGGGCCGTGTCGCGAGGCTATCGTTGCAAGCGAACGGAATTATTTACATCTTCATTACGATGAAATTTACTTCCACGCTGTAACGTCGGTACACAAAGCACAGATTCAGTTCCCGAGTAAATTGCAAATTCTGCTCAGTTTGGTAAACTTGGCATTCAATTGATATGTGTCTTTATCTGTAATATCTATATTTAGATATTTAATATCTATTTAATTTAGATATCTATAATATCTATATCTATATATATTATCTACAATATATAAAATATATTATTACATTTTTTTATATCTATATTTTATATTTTTATCTTTACCTATACTTTATCTATAATGTATAAAATATATTATTATATATTTTATATCTTGATCGTGATAAATAGACTTTTGAGCAGGAGTCTACTTTCGCGAGCCAGCGTCTTTTCGATGGCAAGGGTGTGGTCGTTCCAACGATATATATATATATGTATATAGGTATGAATTTCGTTAGACGTTAACAAAAAGAGGAACGACCCAAGCAGAGGAGAAACAAGCGGTCGGTTTGTGGTACCGAACGATTTATTACGAGCGGCAGCGCCGCGAACGAGAACGCAGGCAGAAATCGATGGCCCGAAGCGACCTCATCGATCAGGATGCAATTATCCAGGATCTATCTTGGTAGGAGGTCCTGATTCCGGCCTTCTTCTTCCGAGTGAGACCGTGACGTGGCCTCTTCTAACGAGGCTTTGTTACACGACCTCGCACGCGTCTCGCGTTCCATCTACCCCGAGAAAGTAGCTTCTCGTGTTTTCGCGTCGTCTGCTCGCGAAACTCGCGAGTAACTCGAGCCGGCGACTAGCTCCGCGTTGGGCGAAGAAAGCGAGGAATCACGATTCTCTGGATGGAAACAGCTGCTGTGCTCTGGTCGAGCGGAGATTCTAATCTGTGACAGGCGACAGAGAGAAAGAGAGAGAGAGAGAGAGAGAGAGAGAATCGCGCGTCGCGCTTTCTTTCGCCATTCGTCGAGCGAAAGAATTATCCCCCGACGCTGTAGAAACGAAACTTTCCAATTTCCGATCCGAGAAACTTGGAAAACTCGGGATTGACTTGGAATTTTGTCTCTTTGGAAAATTCCCTTGGTCGGAGAACTTTCGTCAAAGTGGAAATCTTTTTTTTGGTGGTCGGAGACTAGAGACAATTGGACGGTTATTACGGGTTATGCCCTCCTGTTCTTGTTCCCAGATTATCGTGGCTGAGGCAGCAACAGTTGAAACTCGCGGCGAGGAGGGACGAAAGGAACCCGGGGAAACTTTGGCGACAGGAGACTGGAAATCGCATGATCGGCGAACTGAGAAGCTTACAGAGAGGTAGAATGAGGCACGACGGTTATGCGAGCGACTCCGCGGTGCTCGACGACGACGACGACACGTGGATTGTCAACCCCACTTCCGGACAGGTGAGAAACAGAGACGATGAAACAATCGTCGATCATTTTTCACTTTGTCTCTGTATTTCTACTATTAATTATCTACAATTGCAAATTGATTTTTACTTTACTCCGATATTTCTTTTTCCACTATTATTCGTGACTACTCTGGCAGTTCTACCATCAGTCGCCTACGTTGTAATTAATTAATTAATTTCTTGATAATTCCACATTAGACGCAAACGAGACCGGCACCGTACACATCAGCGCCAGCCAGTCCTCTGCTTCCGCAACGTTCCAGCAGCCGGAAGTACAATGGTACCGCCGGAACTGGTACTCTGGGAAGGCCGCGTGCAGAGAGCGTGAACGAGCGTCCCTTCATGTCGGTGAAACGTGCCTACGAATACCGCAAGTACAACGACAGCCAGGTAAACGAACAACTACCGATACTCATATCGTGATTGATAGTGATAGATAGTTGGACTGTTAAAAAAAGAAATAGGAAGAGAGAGTGGCGTTTTTGCCGTCGTCGCGGCGTACGTACGTACGTAAGCTGGAACCGATCGTGATTAACGAGTACTTCAAGATGTGCCAGATGCATAAAACGTTTTGTCGTGGCGCGCATAAAGCAACGAGAAGCACGCCAGCCGATTAGGCGATAAACGTTTATTAAGTCGTCGGCCGAGGTTGGAGAAAAAAGCGGCGTGGCGTTACCCGAGGCGGTCGTCTACTTGAAATAATTGTCGGTAATAAGGATAATAAATCGTGAAACGGCGGCACGATCGATCCCGGGTCTCGCGCGAATGAAACGGCGGCGGCACGAACGCTACAATTTAGTCCCTGGTAGATTGTCGACCGTAGAAGCAGCTCCCACCGCACGCGGCCCGGTGTTTTATGGCTATGCCGCACAGTTAGATCCTAAACAGCAAGAAACAGAGCCCACTTTACACTTCGCTGACTTGGCTTCGCGGAAAAAAAAAGAAGAAGACAGACCGCATCCTTTAAAGTCGTCACGAGTTACTAGTTTAACCCTTTCTTTTCTCGTGTTTTTTTTTTTCCTTCTTTTTAGCCAAGTTATTACGTAGTTTATTGCGACACTCGACGATCAGTACAATTAGAGATATAATAACGTGACGTGTATAATAATGTTTCTCGCGTAGAATCTGTCCACTTGGTTCGCGAAATTTTTCCGACTTTTGCATACAATATTTCCGACTTTCAATCTA